TAAATTTATATATCTTTTTATGTAATACATATTATTTTAAATTATTATGATTCTAGAAAAGAGGAAAAGGGGATTTTTTCCAGGCAATTTTTGATCTCTCATAATTGGCAACACAGCTAAATATAACCTCTGCATCTCGCAGCCTCGCAAAACTGCAGCCCTGCAAAAGACAATTTTGGAAGGGAGCAGGCAGCCATTTTTGCATCCTCTGAGAGAAATCACATCCTACTAACTCTTCATTTTCTTATTAAGAAAGTATTTCTATTAGCCAAGAACGCTGCAAAATACAGTTTCTTGAAAAATGGAGAGCCGTAGCTGGAAGTAGTTACAAACAAGTGGGAAAAAAACCCCAAACCAAACCTCTGAATATCAGCAGTGGTTGGTCACCTGGATAAGCTGAGTATAAAAGTGTAACAAGCGCCGTCAGTCCCTCGCGGTATCATCACACCCCCACCCAGCACAGTGCCGCACCTCAGCCAGGGCTCACAGTGAAGGTGCCGTTTTCATGACGCCGTGTGTAGTTGAAAGAACCGCTAGAGAGTTTACTGGTTGGGGTTTTTTTGGTTTTGGGGGCATTTGGTTGGTTTGTTTTTAAACCAGTGGGGCACACAGCACTCTGTGCTTTTCCACTAATCTCTGCACTTCCAATACCGACTTTATCCCACAGCCACCAATAGCTTTTTCCTGTACGCTTCCTCATCCCACTTACCACTAAACTAATTCAATGTTAAAACTGAAGAATAAGAACAACTTACAAGAACTGGCCAATTATTTTTTCCCCACGATACTACCACTTGAAACTGCTGCCTGCCATCTACTGGCACCTTTCTCAAAATGCAGTCAGTTTTAAGCCAAAAATGCACATCTCTGAGGAAGCTTACCTCACAGAGAAAGATGAAGTTATAAATTGACAGAAGAAAAACCCCGTCCAAGCTCTCAAGGGCAAAAGCCCTGCAAGTCTGAGAACAGACCAGAAACTGGATTTAAGGACAGTTTTTCCATGTGCCACATATGTTTATCTTGCAACTTGTTTGTTGTATGTCCCGGCAGAGGAACTTACTTTGAACGCTGAGTTGTGTTGTTGACTTTCCTTACCGATTGTTGATAGTATGGCCACTTGATCGAGAATAGCAGTTATGAAATTACAGTAAGAAACCCTAGTTCCAAGTTGCCTTCAATGGAATTGCTCAAAAGTGATTAGTCCAGTAAGTGACAGTTACCAGAACGACGGGGTGACAACAGTGACAGAAGCACACTGATGCTCCCAAATGATGGGGTTGTGAAGAGCTAGTGGAAAAAACACATACACCTAATTTTCCTTGGTAAAGAAAGCAGCTGAAACAGAAGGAATGGTTTTGACAACCACATTTCAGAAGAGAATGGCCTTTCAAATCCCAAGATGGTGCACTGTCTGGGTGGTTTTCCCCTCCATCACGGCAAGGCAGGGGGCTGAGCCCAGCCTCACGCAGCCTCCACGGCACCGTGGTCACCGTGCCCGTGCTCCGGCCTCAGCAGCCGCCTGCCCCACCGACACGCAGTCCCGTCCTCGGCTGCGGGACTGCCAGTCAGGCGTTCCATCACAAAAGTCACACAAAGAGGACAAGCACTGCCATACTGGCTCAGCTAATTAATTCCCAAGCAGCTCCTGGAAGTTCAGCTCCCCGCCAAGCAAGCCAGCGGCTCAGTAACCGCCCGCTCGGCAGCGACCAGAGGAGCAGAGAGGCGAAGCGCTGCCCCGAGTCACCCTGGGACCCGACGATGAAGAAACCCTGCACCTTCCCCGCAGACACCTCTCTGCTCCTTTCCCCACTCCTTCCCTACGAAGAAGGCTCCCGAGGGCATCAGAGAAGCCCATCCCTCCCTTGTAAACAGAAACGTCTTTGCAGAATTCGGCTGGAGCTACTGAGACGTTTCTAGTGTCTTACAGCCCCATCGTCCCTCACGCAGAGACGCTGCCCCACCACTCTCCCCATCTCACCCTCTCTGCCCGGGATTTCCATTTGCTGGAATAGGAAACTCATCACAGTTTGCACTTGCCCACGAGCCAGGAAACACCTGAACCACCAGATCTAGAAAGAGTCACACAGATAATCTGATTCTGGTAAACTACCTTTTTTTTTTTTTTTTGGGTTAAAGGCACATGCTACCTGACTTACCACAGATGCCCATCTGTAGTGCGCTTACAACACATGTATAAAATTAACTCAGCTTAAAAAATAAGTTACATCACGTTACTTTGATGAACCTTTAGAAAACATTGCTGTGTGCTCAATTACATATCCTATCATACAGGCATTTTTATCATAAAGCACCAAGAAGAAATAGCAGCTACCTTTCCCTTATTTATTTCCCTTTTTAAATTTTATTCTCTTAATTACTGGTCTCTTTCTTCAGATTAACCCAGAAGAGTTGCCACTGTTTTCCCATCAGTTCATCAGAATTCTTTTTAATCTACAAGATGAGAAGTATATTTCAATTAATATTGTCCTGGCTGAATTCTTACTCCAATTTAGCTTCCTCTTATTCTATAACTGACAATACTGCAGTCAGGAGTAGAAACACTGAGAGTACTTTCTGAGGCACCTCAGGAGTAAAGCTGCTCCCCCCCCTCAGTAATTTGACATTAATGGACTGCAAATTCACTTTTTTAAAAAAATATCTATCTCCTTGCCAGTGGTGGCACGACTTCTATTTCAAGCAACGTTTTAATTCAAGAGCCTAATATTTTAACCTCATTCTCTGAAAGCCACGTTTAAAATCCTTAAACTGTTTCATAAACTCCTTTACAAACATCTTCAAATGACTCCAACCTCCCCCAAATAGCACACAGACTGTTTATGCAGCAAAGAGCCAACAACAAAGCACAGTTGCCCGTCTCCTTAATCAAAGTTATTTAAAGCATAACGCTATGTACAGATCTAGCAGAGAGCTGTCGGCCAAAATTTTACAAAGTAAAGAGATTTTCAAGTCTTTCAAGTTTTGAGTCTCTGTCTTCAAACACCTTCAAAGGGTCCGCATTTCCAATGCAAGCAGTGCTTTCTCTCTAAAGGTAACCTTAACCTGGATACTAAACCCACGTACTCTTAGCCTCTAGTATAAAGTTTGCCTGTTCTGCACCTCTGGCAGTACCTCATTAGTTTGTAAAACTACTAAAAAAAAAACCAGCTCTCAGTTTCTGGTTTTGTTTGTAAAACTACTAAAAAACCCCAAGTCTCAATCTCTGTTTTTGTTTACAAAGACCCATTGCACTCCTTCTTCGAAAAGTACAGTTGCTTGCAGCATGTTACAAAGCTTCCACACAGATGGGTTCTTAACTTAGCAGGGATCCCAATCATTCCAAGACAAAATTTTGCAGCTGTACAGCCAGGTAAAGGCACATCTGGAGCAGAGAGTTGTCCAAAACCACCCAAAATTCTCAGACCTGGCACATGAAGTGGTCACCCACTGACAGCCCATCACAGTGCAGCCCAGCACAGTACAATCACCCACTACTCAGGCTGAAGTGACGCATTCTCAGGCTTCCTTGATTCAATGGTTTTATTCTTCTTAAGAATATTTCCAGAGGACAGAGAGACACGGGTATTTTACAAGTCTTCATATTCAGCTTTCTCCAATCCTTTAAGAGAAAAAAAAACCAACAAACCCACAAATTGAATCTTTTCAGTAAGTACCACCAATGCTCTCAGCTCTGGCTAGGAAACAGTCCCTGCCCCAAAGAGCTTCCATTCTAGGAGACAGTAATACAAACGTGAGGTTCACAGGGAAAACAACGAGGAAGGTGACGCGGTTTGTCATGCTGCTGGTGCCATACATGGAGACTGGTACATCTTTTTGTGCTGGCAGTCAGTACGCAGACACTGAACAGACCACACACTGCACATGACAGAACATGTTCTATCTGCAGAGGTTTGGAAGGGAGAAGGTAAAGAAGCTCTCAAGAAGGTTTTCAAGGCAGTCCTGTGACAAGGAAGGCATTTGTTCTATGTAGAAATTTTTGCTTATTTACATACTTTTTTTTTTTAAAAAAAAGAAAATAAAACTAGAGTCAAACATGTCAAAACCACATTCATAAATCAGTTGCCTTACAAAAATAAAATTTTCAAACAATGTGTTTCTAAAATAAATATCAATAGGGTTGGAAAAAATAAATACATGTATGCAAGCTATTTTGTCAAAACACAAGAAGTGTTTTGTTTCAGTTCCTTACTGAAAAGTAGCCATGGAGTCCCGATTAAAGCAGCAACTGTTCAGAGCATCCTTCTCTTAGAGTAACACTTGAAGAAGAGTCCCAAGCTGAAAAGCACAGTTTCTTAATAAAAGAAATACATAGGACTGTGTTCCTTACAGGAAAGTACAGAACATTTTCACCTTTGCTGAATGTCAGAGGCTAAAAACCAGTGTTCCATGATATACCCCTGCTGAAGTTTTCTGGTATTTCCAAGCAGTGAGAGGCTAACATCTTTTCTCTTGTTAGGAAATAAAAAGAAAAGTAAAGTCCCATCTGTGAATTTGATTGTTTGTGAACACACATGTATAGTCCCCTGACTGAGCAAAAAATTAATCCTGCTTAAAAACAGTGAGCTACTCTTCCTTCCCCTCCCCAAACAGCAACTCTCACATATTGGAAAGCAGACACTTTAACACAACGTGCCTACAGGACTGTTACAGCATAGGGAGCCAGGGGCAGCTCGACCTCAGGCAGGAGACTTTCACTGCTTGGGAGCACAAGCTGCACCAGTTCGGGATGGTCCAACATGAAATCAATGTTTCCATGGCAGCCCCTGGCATTTCAAGGGCTAGTGCATTGCCCTGAGCTCCTGCCCTCAGGAGTCAGTCTCAGTTTGGCCGGTAGTAGTCACAGTGCTCTAGGTAACAGGAGGCAGGGTACCCTATTCCCCACTCTCATAAGGCAGCCGTACCACTCCAGGAAATCAGTTTCCTTCTTGAAGGTTTCAGTTTTTTGTGGTCCTGTATGTCCTCTTACTTTTTAAATTGTTTTTCTACCTATTTAAAAGGAGCAACATGCCCAGATTAACAACAGTGCTCAAGTAGGCAAAGAATAAAATGTCCACAATGCAAGCTCTACATAGGTTTACAATGTACTGGTCATGCATAAACCCCTACAGATCCTGGCAGGCATTTAAATGTTTAAGTTGATGTAAGATCAAATTGCTAATGAACTGACTGCTGAATGGACTGTAGCCAGTTTGAATCACTGGTAGGTTCTGCATCTGATGTCGCAAGACTTATGTCATGTCAAATCAGTGGTCATCTACTTTAGCCCTTTTGGCTTTCAAGGAAAGATGCTGCAAGAAAAGAAAAGAAAAATTGTTTAGAATATACATAATTAAAAAAGCATTCAACTAGAATGCTTTCAGTCTTTAATCCCAAATTAAATAAATTATTATACAAATGTCAAAGACCACCCTTCCCAAGCTCTGGTTAATACTGATAGAGCTAAAATAAACCTATGAAATAAAAAACACCACATGTATCCCAAAGTGATAGTCTGGTTTGGTATAAAATATCATCTTCCAGTACTTCTGTACTAACTCCAAGCACAGGAACGATTTCCCACTGGAAGCAAGGTGCCAGTGTGTAAAAATGCACAGAAAGGCACACGTGCTCCCAACACCACCTGTGCATAAACACTAGGAGTACACGATTTTAACTGATGTATTAACACAGGAGCTGCAGTTGCATTGGACCTTTGAAACTCTATGCTTTAAAGCAAAAGGCCTTAAAAACACGTGGAATGAAAACATGAGGAGAGTTCTGCAAAAATTTGGAATGAGACACAATTGACTGAGACCATGATCAAGCTGTAAAAGAAAATCTTTTCACACAGAATCCCATTCAGTTGCAATTTGTTTTTAACTTGATACAGGAATAAAAGTTCTCATATTTCTGGAATCTCTTATTAGCACAAAGATGTATCCTTCAGCAGAACAAGGGTCTGAATGTCTGTAAATTAGCATAAATTCGTGTGTCTTGCATTGGCTTGCTTTTTCAAAATTTACATGTATTATTCAAAGCTCTACACAACAGGAATAGCTCTATTTTCAAAAGATTTTACGAAGACACCCAAGCCTTTTGCCTGATAAGGATAATTGACTAAACTGGAAAAGACAATTTTCCTCAAAACCAGCACTATCCTCCAGAGCTTCCATTTATTTTAGGATGAAAGCAATGCTTAGGTTGTGCTGCAAAATGAGTTCTATCCAATCAAAAGGATAGCAATGGTAAAAATTAGGTTCTGATGTCATTTCATAACATCTACATCAGCAGTAGTACTACCTTGAAACCCGTGTTCCCTCGGTAAGGTCGGTAGTACTATTCAAGACAAGCCTTCTTCACTTAGAAAAAACAACTCAAGTTTTGCCTGAACAAGTCATCGAGTCACATTCTCAACACCACCTACCTAAAGGAAAACCTCACCCCAAAACTGAGCCTGTGGAGAGGTCATATCATAATTGGATGTTGTGTTGTGTATGGGATATTACAACATGTAAATACGTGAGTCAAAAGGACTAATTATTCCAGGAGCAGATTTGATACAACTGGAACATTGGCTCATCTCCATTTTACACCATGCTTGCAGAATGCCTAAGAGCAGCTAAAGGCTCAGGGGTCTATGCTGCAGGGGCCATTACCGCCTTTGTCAAATGCATTATAGAAAAAAAGGCAGGAAATATTCAGCTGCTTAGCATTTATAGATGGTAAGTGTCTGGATAACTGAGATGAATTATCCAAGCTCAACGTTAAAAAAACCCAACCCTCTCAAGTCCATTACATGGACAGACATCAACGGTACTGTATAGATTGTAACCACAGAGGTATGTCCTAAGGTGCTCAATGCACCACAGCGTTTTTCTTTTTTCCAAAAACCCCAGGAAGGGAAAGAAAACAGACATCAGGTTCTGAGAAAAGTCAAATAGCATAGCAGATGTATAAAGCAGAAACAGCCCCATTTTTGCAACATGGCTGCTCGTATGCACTAACAGATCTCTTGTTTTGCACAGGTCTGACATGCAAGTGTGTTTTTTCACTCAGTATTTTGGATACACTTCACTAATTTAGAATATAAAGCTCAGTAGTTATTAATCTCCCATGGGAAATTCACATGGAAGATCAATTTGGCAATCTTGCCTGTGCAGTATTTACATGCAATGTGGCATCAACAGCTCCAGCATAACGAACATTTAGATAATATTTCATACCAATCCAGTTCTCAGAATGACCAATGAGTAAGTCACATGGGACAGAGTTGATAAAGGATGGCAACAACTATTAAAAGATACTTGTACAGAGAAGGTATGTATATCACACACAACAGAATTCGCAATAAAGGTTTGCACAAATAGCAGCTGTTCTTTGTCATTTCAAGTTTGAACAGATCAGAGCTGATTTTTTTGCAGTAAACATAATTAATGCTCAAAAAAAGGCTCAGGATTTGCACAAACATTTTAAAAGCATGCAAAGACTCCACTAAAATTATTGTGCAAAGTATGCCTACTGTCTAGCTATACTGCTGTTCAGAAAATCGCTACCAAGTGCCTATATTTAAGTGTAAAATGGTTGAAGGCTTCATTTACCAGAACGATACACTATTTTGTAACTTTGAGATCCTGTCTCTTGGCTGGATAATAGGGGAAAAGCTTTCATGCATTAATTTATTATCCTCTTTCTTTGTATTAACCACTACAATGAACAAAACCGAATTAAATTTTGTACCACTAAACAGAAAACAACAAAACATAAACACTTAAAAAGTTCAGATACAAGAGCTGTTAATACAGCAATGGTACCGTTTGGGCTTTATGCCGATTCCGTACCGTTCCTTGCTGGTAAAAATGAGGGGCCAGTTCCAAGAGCCATGCAGATTCAACAGCAGTCACATCTCTCATGTAGTATTTAGCAGTCTGTATGACTTCATTGTAGACTACCCTAGGAGAAACAGGGGGGAAAAAAAATAATAATGTTTGCTATAAAGCAATGAGGGGGAGAGATGATTAACAGCATATTTAGACAGTTTCACATACATGCTGCCAGAGTTAATATTTAAAGGCTCTCTTGTCACTCTGACATACATGCTGCCAGAGTTAATATTTACAGAGTGACAAGAGAGCCTTTAAGTTATAATACAGCCTCTTACCGCTTTCCCTCTGGTTATTCAGAGTACCCTACATTCAGGCAACCTTGACTGCCATGAAAAACACCTTGACATACTACCAGGACGTACGGATGCAAGGTATAAAAGAAATATTTATTATAATGGGGCCAATGGGGACTCATAACAGATGCTTTGAAAGAGAGAATATTAGTTGGTCTGTGATACCATGAGGAAGAACGTCAAAAGCACCAAAACCCTGGCCCCATAACAAGTAGGGCACAGATCATGGCATGACTATCCCTGGTGCCTGTCTGCAGACAAGCGAGATAAGGATAAGAGGAAGAAATCAGCTTTAACTACTGCCAGAACATCTTCTGGTAAGAGATTTAGAAACAGACAGCCATGCGGACTCAATCCCTGCTGCCAGCATGGGCAACCTATTTCTGAAGTAACCCTTCAGTAAAGAAAGTCATTTTTACCATGGAAGCGCAAACCCACGCGCTGCAGGGTTAGTCACCAGAACCAGAAGTCATTATCTGCCTTCTATACACAGTACAGCTGCAAACCCACAAGGTTTGTGGTCTCTCGTTAATTGCTATCTTGCTCCCAAAAGAAAAGAGGAGAGTCCAAAATTCTCTATACTCTGCCAAACGCAGCTCAAGACATACCAACTAATACAACTAAAGAGAAATCTGAGGAAAACAAACAAGAATGAGAACACGTTTTATATACACCTGTAACAGAGAGAGAATTGAAGCCCTCAATATAGGATGGGTGCCCAGGCAGCAGCAGCACTAGAACCAGGGCTGCTGAGCAAGGCAAACTCGTCTTATAGGATGCCATGAGCCAGCAGCGTCTTTGGGCTGGCAGTGGCAACACCACGTGGCCTCGGAAGACAGCTCTGTGCCTGTTCGGCAACACAGGGGTCCAAAATCAGGTTTAAGCCCAGAATCAGTATTCCCAAAAACTCCAGCAATACTGCTGCCACCAACAGCAAGCAGGCTGTGAAACGAAAAGCAGTCGTAAGGTTTTGCCAGTTAAGACTTCCAGCTAGCTGTCCACAGCTCTGCTTTTCTACACGTCTGGAAGCACCCAAGGCTGGGATGCAAGTTCCACGCTGAGGGCTTATCATCTAAAAGCTGAACCCTGGAGGAGGTATGTGCTGGAGCAAAGAATTTCTCCAGTACTGTCCTACCACTAGACTTTCTTTCCAGATTAATTTCTTCCCGATTTATTCTTCTTTCTGTCTGTCACTCTCCCATAACCCAGCCTCTTTCAGGAGGTTGTAAGCTAGAAGATTTCAGAAGTGTATCTGCAAAGTATTCTTTTTACTATTTCAGACAGATTGTGGTTTATTTTTAATAACAGTGAGAGGAGGTTAAAAACTGGCAAAACAGCAGTGAATCAGGCTGGTTTCAGTGGCAAAAATTACTTTTGCTACACTCTGCTTAACTCAGCCCTGAAGAATTGGTACAGTTAAGACCAAGAGAGCTGGATTCATTTTTATTTTGTGAGCCAGTGTAATCGGTGGCTAAGTTCCTATCAGTCACACTTCTGCAAATCATACACAACAGGTATAGGAGCCCAATTCAAAGATAACAGAGACCAAGTTTAACCTTCAAAGTCTCAGCAACAGGCAAAGAAGGACAAGTGACCAAATACTTCAGGTCGATCACGCTGACCTGGCAGTTAGAAACACATTTCTAATTGTTATCTGAGCATCTTTGATATGCAAATGGAACTGTAATATCCCAGCTAATACAACCACTTCTTTCCCTGATCTGCTAGACAACCGTAACTTCTCTCAAACTTTTTGCATCATGCATTTGACATGTATGCTTTGACTCCCAGCAAGCCACTTGCAATTACTGCAGCACCTATTTGACAGGACATTTACTTAATAGGCTTACTAAAAGCAAATTAATCCTGGTTCCATCTAGGTACAGAGACCACTCGGAGAGCACTCTGCAGTGCAAGATATGGTGCCCATTAAAAAAGGGTCACCCGACTCTGCTTTCCAACTTTTGCAGGTTTTTTGACAGCTAAACATCACTATTTCCCTGACTTATTTAGATACTGCCTACAAAAAGTTGCAAAGGAAATACTAATTAAATTCTCTCCATGGGAACCATGACCTTCTACATCTATTCCTCCACTGATGGAGAAAAGTCATTCATGAAAATGTCTGGATGATGAGAATGTCTTACAAAGATCACAAAGTGAAAGCAGCTTTAACTTACCAGCGTGGAGGTTTCTCTGCATACAGCACTGAAGTGGGGTGGATATGAAGTTCATGGTCATCACGGATAGTCCTTGAAAGCAAAATATTATTTCAGACCATGCATTTATTCAGTGCTTAACATTTGGTTCCTTTCATCCCCACTAAGAATGTTTAATAAAAGGCAATAATGAAAGAGCTGGAGCAAATTAAAAACATTTGCATTTAATGAACAGGCATTCCGATGAAACCAGGCTTAAATCTTGGCCAAAGGAAGAAATGATAATTTAATGTCCTAAAAGAGTTCTATCTATGTTAAATGGAAAAGTAGTGTTTCAGGCTTTTGTTCGCTACAACAGAGCACTGTACTTGCTTGTATTAACACAAGCTAATTACTATTAGTAACAGCTTCCCACTATCAGTAACTCTGATTATTTATATTTGCCAAAAAGAAGACATAAACATTGTAGCAGTTTGAAGATACAAAACTTCAAATATTTAGTAAATCAACCTCTGTTTCTTATTGCAAGTGGCTAAAGAAGCATCTGTTTGTTGATTATACTCAGATGTATCCAGTCAAAGGAGCTTTTAAACTAAGCAACAGCTGTAATTAAGCTATATATATTTACCTGTAAGCTCCAGTAGAGTGGAATTTAGCTGCGTTAGCAAAGAATCCGGAAACTATGCATCTCAAAACAGGATCTGGATCACCTGAAGAAAAGATTTTTATATGTAAAATGAGTCAATGGAATGGCAAACACCCCTAAAATACCACTTAATCATCTCAACCAACTTTTCACACTGCATCAGGCTTTGATGGCAAAGGCTTGAAAGCAGATAAACCCTGCAATCTCTTTTGACTTCAATTTCACAGCAAATCAAAATTACTATGTAAAAAACTACTGTTGCCACTAGTTTCTCCAAGAAGATAGTTTCACAGTCCTTAGAGCAACCTTGTGTGACAGCTGAGCAATGCAGCCTGATTTTTCAGACCCGTTAGAGACAAGTGCTGAGAACTAGTCACGGCATCCATGCACGCACAGCACTGCTGGAAATCAGACCCCAATGACTGTATATAATTTTGAACATACTAGAAAAAAGGGTTTTCAAAAAGTCGAAAGAGGGAACAGGGTTATCTATTTATGACTCTTTTGGTAAAGCTGTCCATTAAGTATATAATCAGTGGTTATAATCTCTTGCTGGAAAACTTAACTAATGAAGACTGGACTAAATGTTAACTGTAAAAAAGAGCTAAAATGCTCTTCTGCAGTCATCTTTAGGAAAAAAACCCATGGTTTTAATTAACATTATTTTTAGGCCAGGGAGAAAATACTTCAAAGGTTATGAGAAAAGCAGGAAGCAGACTGACAGTTTGGAGACTACCTTCAACATGTATTGGACAACAGGTTAAAAAAAAAAAAATGTTCACCTTCACTGGACTTCTTTGGCACTTTAAAGCGGACGAGAAGCTTTTTCAGCTGCTCTCTTACAACAGAAGCTCTAACAAGCCCTTTGTAGTTCAGAAAGTGTTCCTGACACCACTGAGAGCTCTTGCTGTGCTGTACAGTGGGAAGAGTAGAAAAAATTACAATGAGAAACTACCAGCAAAACAAAACCAAATCTCTTTTGGATCACATAGCCCTGTTCTGTTTTTCTTCTCTCTCCTACAACATATTCATTGCGGTTTTCCCTGAAAATTACCTATGTATATAGCTACTCACAAGGGTATATAGCACCAATAACTACAAAACGTATTTCAAACAACTACTAAATAGTAGTAGAACAAATGCTATGAGGTGCTTTCAAACAGATGTGCTTCATTTCTTCATATGTGGTGAAGGAGAACAGCAACAGTCGTTCCATTCTCACACACAAATGCATCATATCATAAACTAGTCTGTTTTCAATATCAGAATGTAAACAACCTTTTCCATACACCGGTCTTCTTTATGCAGAGAATTCTTTCTCCAGAAGCGAGCACTCGCTCCAAGAGTGTCAGCCTTTGGCAGTTTCTAAGAGAATTACGCAGATATAAAATTTAAAGGGCAAAATTTCGGTTGGTGCCTTACTGATTGCTTTGGGGCTGGGGAGAGGAGTGTCATATTTAAACATGTTAGTGGTTATACTGCTTCAACTCAACACTGTTGCGAATATATCATTACAGAAGTGCTTTATACCAGCAAAATATACACTTCTCCCAAGAGGTATAGCACTTCAAAACTCTTAAGTAAAATCTCAACTTACAGAGAAGTATTAAGATTGGTGCTAAACTTTAGGGTAAATACGTAAGGTCAATGAAAAAGAGGATGTGATGACCAATGAGGCAATTTTTTTAAAAAAGTGCTAGACTTAGATGCAGTTTATAATCAGTAAAACTCAGATACATTTAAAGAAAAGATGAGAGAAAATGAATTTCATTTGGAATTTGGATATCTGTTTTTCCTAGGCCCTTTCAAAAATCCCAGTCTCCTTGAAAATACAGCTGTCTACCCGTAAGACTTCCATGCTGTACCCAAACCAAATTCTTTCTATTCCCTGTTCAGAAGAACTACAGAAGGTCTGTGGCAAAACATGACCAGAATACCTTTTAAAGCAGAATTATCACTTAATAGACTGGATAAATCCTCAGCATTGAGGATGCTATATCCAGAACTTATGGAATCAGAACTGAGGACCTCAAGTGTTTCCCATTCCTGCAAATCCACATACACTTCAGCTGACTTACTTTGACAAAGGCTTCATAAACATTAAGCATAGTGAGATGATCACCTTCTTCCACAGCAAACTTTCTGTGTTGCCTCGCCTGGAGAAGAAATTTTTTTTTTTTTTTATTGGCAGATTGATTTTTGCAATCATGTCCAGTACACTCAGTTCCCATCATCTCCGTATTTCCTGGTGACTATTAAAATTCTTACCGTATAGGGTGGTTCCTCTAGGCGACAGCAATATTTTACTAGCCCACCTATATTCAGGAGCACTTCTAAAATTGAAATTAGAAAAATGAACTGAAAAATAACCCCCCAAATCCAAGAGAGGGATGCATTAAAATTAGGCTCCTGCTACCTATTATGAATTTGATACATCACAATACTTTCTTTTTTGTTCCTGTTGAAAGGAAGTGGTGTTTGGGGAGGTTTGGGGTTTTTTGGCAAACCCTTATGCTAACCAATATTGGTTTATAACTTTTCATCCTTCTGGTCCTCAGAAGGAGGCTTTTAACACTAGTAAAGGAGTCCAAGGTTCCCACTGTTATTCAGTTTCTTCTTTTACCTATAACCAATAGGTACAGTTCAAGACCTTGCTTGACTTTCATACAAACTTGCAGTCTGCAATGGGTATCAATAAAATACTTGGCAGAAATGTGGGACTAACAAAAAGAAAATAAGACACAACTGAACTTACAGCCTGAGCTTTTTGATTTGGAGGGATCACAAAAATGTTTTGAATCTGCATCATGGCAGCAATTGTCAAAATCTCCTGGGAGCAGCCAAAATTTCCTGAGGAGTAAGTGGAGAAATTCGGTAAATGACATCCTCTTCCATTCAACTTACCCCCATATAGAATAAAAAGGAAAATAAGCAGAATATATTTTTGTAGTATATAAAAACAAAATACCTAAACCCCTGGGTTTCTTTAGTATAACAGTGAATGTTTTGAATGGAAAACTTAAGACAAATGTGTTAGACTTATTAGTGTGTTAAGCGTGTTAGACTTATTATTTGAGGCGTCCATGAGTTTAACCAATTCCTTTCACTAAACACTGTACCAAAATGAAGCATACAATTTGTTTCAAGTTTAGCAAATGTCTAATACTACACTACAATTACAAGAGGCAGTGTTTGCTAGTCATCACAAGACTATGAAGAAAATCTGATTTTTTTCTCCTACCTGATTCCAGAAGCATCTTTGCAAACATAGGATTCAAAGGAAACTCTGCTATTCTCATTCCAAGAGGCTCTGTTAAACGGCAGTGCATATCCAAACCTGCAGCATATCAATAAATGTAGCTATGATACAGGCAAAAGTAGCAAAGAAAGTCTTCTTTAAGAATTTAACGTGTACTAAAGAGCAGAATTACAAGCTAAAATACAGCAAATGCACCTAAGAGTTGCTGAATGTATATTAAACTAAAGTTAAAGGCACTCCTTAATATCCATTTACTCTCCCATGGGTCACTGATACTGTTTTTTTCTTCAAACATACTTGACCACACAAGTTTCTTCGTTTTGACCAGGCCCCATTGCTACTGCCAACGATTTAGAAAACCTGCAGTCAAGTCAATCCAATGGCCAGAGTGCCTATTAGCTGTTAGACTTATGCACCTCTTTTATAAGCATTTAGCAACATCTTTGCTCACGGAGACAGGAAGCAGGAGTCCTGATGAGAATAAAAAAGGGCATAATTATGGACCAGGCATACCTGTAGAAACAGGAAGCACTGCTGGGTAGGGTGTCATTTTTCTGAGCACATCTGCTCAGGTCACGAAGAAAAATAATTTAACTTTAATATAATCTAAACCAGACATGTACAGCTGATGAAGATTCTCTACAGTTCAGTCTGCATCGTGCATCAATAACTAAACCGTCAGCCGTGTTCCAACTGTAACCCTTTTACTGGAGATGGTACAGCTTGGTTTTCAATTCCCAGCTATCGCTGAGCAGCCCTGCATGTTTACCATTTTAGTTGTACGGCTTCCTACAGTCCAACGCCTGCAGTAAGGTTTACCCATGCAAACCACCAGGTCATATTCTAATCCAGAGTGCTATGATGAAACTTCGGGGAATGATTTAAATGGAAAAGCATTCCCTTTGCAACAGGACATAGGAAATAGATTTAAAAAAAAAATAATACAGACACCAGAAACATAGGAAAAGAGCTTGCTAAGAAAGGCAGCAAAGAGCAAGAATTTAAAGAGAAAAGAAAACCACAAGTAAGCAAAGTTGTATGAGGTATGGCAAGGAGACAGAGCACAAGAGAAAAGCTGCACAAGGAAGGACTACAGAAAGCCCAATAATAGAACTTTGGGGCACTGTAGATTGCATAAATAACCACAGCAGAGTGGACTGAGGAAACACAACTGGTGCCCACACATTATATAAACATATTATTTGTCAAACTGTGTGGTGCCAAAACCCCACAGTTGTACTTCAGCTACATTTCACAGAGAAAAGCAAAACTGCAAATCAAGTCAAGGAACGAGATCTCCTATAACTCATGTCAGTATATCTAAACCCACATATACCTCTACCGAGTGTTTACTTTCCTTTATTATTTGATATGCTCTCATCTCACTTATTATGACAATGTACTAATTCGCTCACCACACCCCTACACTGTTCAACAAAACCTAGTAGGCATGTCATATAATGTCACAATATTTTCCTGAGAAACAGGTACAAAAGGCAGCTTATGTGAAATGATGAAGTAACATATTTAAACACAAAGTCACAGAAACTGCAAAAATTAAGGTATGATAGCTTTCATTTGACCAGTGCCATCTGAGAAGTTTAAGGTCTAACACAAGTAAAAGTTTATTTGAAATAACCTCAGAAGCAACCACTGTATCTGTATAAATAGGAAATTGGAGACTTAAAAAAAGGTACTGCAAAGATTTTTATTGAACATAGTCAGGAGAGATTATTCAAGTACTGTGGCTCTAAAAAGTTTCAAGTAATAACCACTAGAATGTGACAGGCTGAGGGACTGAAACACTCAATTTTAAACTTAGAGTGGCTGTTTCTGATAGGCCACAACTTACAAAACAAAATCTTGGATCGGAAATAAAGCAAAAAATAAAGCCACTTTTTACCTGCTTATTTACCTCCTAATTTATGCTTAAAACCAATAAACTCCAACTGACAACTCAGACTTTCAAAGGGGCATCAAAGGAGAAGGCGGAGATGAGACGCTCCTGATGTAATCAGTTTACACCTCTGTAAAAATAATCAGTCTGAAAACAGTGATGTGTTTATTCAACAGAACTATCTCAACGTTGACAGCGTCTGCTCTGCACAAGTTTCTCTGTTGGCACCGCACTGGCACAATAGGGTCCTGACCCTAAACTGCACATTTGCATGCTATTACGATGTAAATGATGAAATACATGTTCATACTTGCATAAGAGAAATTTAATCCTTACTGCACCTGCAAACGCTTGGGCAGCTTCACCTCTGCAACTTATATACATTCTCCATAATAAACCACCTAAAACCCTAAACTTCAGCAAAAACTGTAGGGGCGAATCTGTGCATATCACACATGCACACACGTTGCTTTCCATCTTAAACACCAACATCAGCACTTCTCTGCTTTGCTACAAAAGCTGGGCAGCCAAGAGAGTAACAGCTCTGTACTTTTCTGTGAAGCTACCATGAGCGTAACACTTTTGCCAAAACATCAAACAGCTAATCAGCAAGTTTATTGACCTTTCCTCTCCGTTTCCCTAAGGTGGTTTTGGCTGTGAATTCATCCTTGCAACATGCTTCTGAGCCGCTGTGAAGGTCCTTGTTCCAAGCTGGAAATGGTTGCCAAGAACCAAGTGCTTTAAGTGAAATCCCCCTTTGCAAGATGGAACTGAATCAGCAGAGAGCAAAATCATGGCCAGGAAGAGAGTTACAGCTCCACGAGAATAAGAAGAGAGCCACAATCACAACACAGCATTTGTAAGTGATGTAAAAAAAGCCACAAACCTCTGGAAGCTTCCAGAACTTACACAATCTCCTTTACACTACCCTTTTCCTCATGTTTATATTATGGAGCAAATATTGTTAACTTTGAATTAACTGCAAACACTGAGTTAAAGTCAAACAGAGTTTTGTTTTGATTACTTGTTCTTGTGTCAAGTTTCTGTTTAGTTTAAGTTTGTCGCATTCAAAAAGATTAAACAGCTGTCAAAAAAACCAACAATATAACAGTTCTTCCTATAAACAAAATTAGACAGCATACATTCCGCTCACCACAACAAAAAGGAATTGAAAGCTGTGCATAAAAATATTACTAAAGTGTGATTTGAGTGTTATAGGTATCCAACATCAGAACAATGAATAAAACCAAAATGAACACATTTAGAATCATAGAATCTCTCAAGTGGGAAGGGAGCTATAAGGATCAAGTTCAACTCCGGGCTGCTCCTCACGGAGCTACCTAAAACTAAACCATCCGACTAAGAGTATTGCTCAGACTCTACAGAATTTTAGAACAAGCTGTGATTAGTAATTCAGAGAACATAATAAAAAAAATAAATCTATAAAGTAGCTAAAGAGTAGAAAAGTACTTTGAATTATGCTCTCAGGGTCTGTTAGACTACCTTTTTCTTCTTTTCATTAGAAGTTTGTGTGTGTCTGTTCATCTGTCCATAACCAGAAAGTTCAATATTAAAACTAGAGCAAACTCTCTTTGCAAGCTGCAGGCAAACGACTCCTACACATTTAAAAGCCTGAAAAGCAAGCAGGCTGCGCACTGAAACACAGACACCGAGTGTGAGAAACGTAGCTCCAACTCATCCAGGAAGCACGCTGCCTTTAGGGGTTTTTTTAGTGCTACATCATGTGCTCACAGCTAATAAAATCAGAACAGTTTGACTTGCTACAGGTTTGAACTAATTTTTAAAATTATAACTAGATCAGCTCTTCGTAACTGCTGTCAGTCAAACCTTCAAAATCGTATCAATGAGCAGCTCTGAAAACTAACGTGAGACTTGCTTAGCTGAGCGGTTGGGAAGCACACTCTCTATCGGGTTTCATTTGAGCCTCCAGTGACCCGCCTCTCCCAAACTCAAGCATCAGATTTTACTGACAATGTTTAGACAGATTTCCTGCACACACATCAAGATCAGATAATGAATGTAACATGCTAACAGAAAAATTTAAGATAGATACACTATGCTTTTTAAAGTCTGACCAAGTAATAAACAAAATAGCAATTACATTAAGCTTGCTAAATTCTAGGTTACTACAATCAGACTGATCTTGAAAGAGATGTCAAAACTTTACTTTCAACTTTTTTTTGTTTATACTTGCAAGTGCTACATGTTTCCATCACTGGCATAGAACACAAAATGAAAGATCACCACACTAAGAGCTTGAGTATCTACCAACTTATCTAACTGGATGCAGGTAAATTTAGTGTCTAACTCATGTAGTGGTCTAATTAGTGTCCGAACTCCGTTAGTATCTTCATACCACTCTGTAAGGACTGAGGAAACACAAACAGAGGATCTGCCTGAGAGACCCATAGAATGGTTTAGGTTGGAAGGGACCTTAAAGATCATCTAGTTCCAATCCCCCTGCCATGGGGGAATCACACCAACACCCTCATCAGCTCAGAGTCCTGCTCCTAGCAAGGACAAATAGCTGGTTCCTCCTGTGAAGGTGCAAGGAAATACACAGAAGATAGCTTAAAATATGTGTTTGCCCAATCTAAACAGTCAAATTCTAGTTTATACTCTCCGCAATAGATTTCTAGTCCCAGTTATCGTTGCTTTTTGCTTGCTTACGTGTCTAAAATAACCAGAGGAAAAGAAAGTAAATTCAGAGGAGACTAAGGTACACTTTAAAAACACGCCAACAAAAAGCTTCCACCAGTCAAGGCTGCATTCTCTCTTTCTCAAAGCACAGTTCTCAAATGCAAGTTTGATTAATGACCATCCAATCACCAAGTCCAAATAAACAATTTTTGTCATAACTCCTGTAACATAGCTATAAATAAAGCAAAGCATAATATTCTCACCTCCTAAAGCATACAGCAATTCTAAAGCTTGCACCATTGACTGTGCAGGAGGTGGCTGTGAAGAAAAAATGTGTATTGTTTAAAGTTATCATCATAGAACACACGAGTTTTCACAAAAATTCTTAGATCTTCCTCTTTTACAAAATCTGTTAAGTTCTAACTACCCACCTTTCTACTTATGCAAAACGAAGAAAGAGCTCCCAGACTCTTTTCTCACCCTTCCATTGACCACCACTGCTGCGAGTCAAAACATCTCAACAGGCTCAGCATCAGCACTATGATGCTCTCAAGATCCCAGCTGGAAAGGGCATACTTGCTTTGTCCAACCGTGATGCTGGCAGTGAGCAGAACAATTAACTTTCTCTCCTAACGCTAACATACTGGTTCTTCACACCAATACAAGACGAGCTAGAAACTTTACAGAAAGCAAATCTAAAAACTGGTACTGCTCTTTTTAGCAAGACAGACAAGCATAGGTTTAGCTCTGCAGATATAATTTTTTTCCCCTTTTTCTTCATAAGTTCAGTGCAAAGAGACTACAGTTACAGTTTTGCAGAATCTCAGTTTGTCTTTCTAGGCCTTTCTCGATTTCTCAACACTTCAAACAGCAAGTTCTGGAATACAAACAGTCGCTGTTTCTAAATTGTCACACACACTACTTGCACTAGTTGATTCCCAAAAATATACTTTGCTGCCTGATAGTGGGCAATGAGGTATGCTTTCCTAATTAACAGGGCAATGGTTACTGGTTCTGTGGGTACTCACCGAAAGAAAGGGGAACCTGAGCACATTGTCGATTCCCAAAGCCTTCAGCTGCAAGATGACGGGTGCAAGGTTACTGCGCTGCATCTCAGGAACAGTGGACTTTGGCAGCTTCTCGAAGTCCTCCTCTGTTGTGGGAGAAAACAAAGCAATTTGGGACTGAGTTCCAACTCTCACTCTATGCAATCAACATGATAGAATCATACTAATTTCAAGTTAAAATTTTCGAGTGTGTATACTGAACAGGTGTTAAAGGAACTCTAACTCAAAGATGATCTTTCTCCAATTACTGTATTTTAAGATACTTAACTTTAAATAGAAAAGCAAACGTTTTTGGCTACACTGCTGATACTGTAGTTGACCCACCCATATTTCAAATTGAAATGTTTGAAGTTCTTCACAGAAATCTGGAAATGCTTTATTTGTCTTCTGTTTAATACTTTTATCAGAAAATAAAAGGGGGGGTGAAATACTGCAAAAAAAGCATTTTTTTTAAAGAAGGGACATGGAAAAGTTCAAAACCAGCATGCTTTCAGTATAAGAACACTATTTTTAGTAACTACTCAAAGAAAAGGAGGTTTCAAAAGCATATTTAAAATAAAGACTAAGGTTTGAAAAACAATTTATTTAACAATGCCTTTTTAAAAGCACATTTGCTATAAAGTTTTTTGGAAAAATACTTCATATAGTGTCAAAATCCCTGCACCTTCCACTAACCAACTCTTCTGCAGCAAAGAAAAAGGCACTCTCATCCCTATGTTGATCCAAAACTCCAAATCAAGACAAGAAATACATTTTTTTCACCTGAATTATTTTCATTTCTAGGCAAAACCGTCTTTTATCTCTGGTCCTCAGACCTTCCTTAAGACAAATATAGTGCATGTTTTCTCTACTTTTGGCCACTCAGTGCACTTTCTTCTTTTCTTGGATTTTTTTTTTTTCTCCTTTAAAATGTTTCTTAAAGCACTCATTAGGCCAGCTCTTGAGCACACAAAAATAACTTCAGTGTAGTCATGGTTTCTCCAGTAAAATACTTTAAAAGCTGTGTAAGCTTGGTATATTATGCAGCAGACATTCTCTTCTGATTCTTATTGGACACACAAATTTAGAGAATAAATCATGTCTTTGTTTAACGTGACAACTGCTGGCAAGCACACACACATTTTAAAAGAATATGCTTGCTCTAAGTCTCAAGTCTCCAGTAAAACCAAAGGGAACCTGAGGCACATAAGCAATGGCAGTGCTCAACTGCAATACCTTTTCTCATTAAACAGCTGAGAAGAGAGACAGTTGGATTGTGGCTTTCCTAACACTGCTATGTGGCCAACAGATTTATTTGTAACAGTAATTTTTGTACAATGCCAGGGTCACCGATTCAAGAGAAGCATTTCGGGTTGGCACCTATTCCTGTGAAAAAGGGGACACAAAGAAGTTTTCCTTCAGTTGTCTAAAGGATTTCCAGAGTCCTTTGTTAGACGCACAGTCTAAGGAGACTTTAGTCACAGAAAAGAGCATCATAGGTGGGTATTATAAATTGAAACAACTGCTCAGAAACAAAGATCATCAAAAGATAAACTTCTTAGTAGACTTTCCAGAGCTATGTTATCATTATAGGTTTGCAAGTGCTGACAATCTCGTAGCACCTATTCTGCTTCAGTTTGTGCTTCTGTTTTATAAAAGCATTCAGCGTTCAACACTTAGCACTTATCAACAGTACATTTCTAAATAAGCCAGAGGAATAATGAAGGCAAATTTCCATCTCTCACTGAGAGAAAAAAAATACACTTGTGTTCTTCTTTATCTAATACAAAACCCCCTGCAAAACAAAATGCAAGTCACACCAGCAAGTTCACCTTCCCTA